GAGTGTCTGTATGAGCATTAATCTTTTCACCAATAGTGGACCCTTCAGAGAGCACTAATAAAGTACTAGAAAAAAAACACAAGTGGTTGTGAAAGGGTTATGAGGACATAAGAAGACGTTATTCAAAAAGCAGGATGTCTAATAGACAAAATGGATTGAAATTTAGTCACTAATTACAGAATATTATTGTTTAGTCACTAATTACAGAATATTATTGTTTAGTCACTAATTACAGAATATTATTGTGTTGACTTTTTTTGTGACGGAATCAATCAATACTTTTATTATAATGACCAGTGGGGGTTCACACTAACCCCCAAATCTTCAACTTTATTGCACTTACTTTGTGTCACTATTGTGACAATTGTTGCAGATTGCCCCCACCCCTCCCCCCCCATTTCCTAATGACCTGTATCGCAACTTAAGTTTTAGTCTTAAAAATATAAGTTATGACTATAAGAGAAGTTTTACTTGACGTTTGGACACAAACTTGTAACTTATCAAAAGTTATTTTGTTAAATAAATTGGCTGGGTTTATGATAATCTTACTATACATGTATGAATTTGAATAACAATGTAGTTTTGTGTTTATTAAACGTTAGAGTGACCGCACTTAAACCGTGCAACTGTAAACAAATAGTGCTACCTACTTAGTTATATATAATAAATCGTGCATGCGATACGTAAAGTACAGTCAACTCTTGTTATTACCAACACCCTCAGGACCGTCATTTAGTGTCCGAAGTAGGGAGAGTCTGTAGTAATTGGAGTTACTTTCAGTCATTTCTTTGTATTTTTGCTGAGGATTCAGCTTTTCTTTTCTGTAATATTGAGGTTAACATAATAGCAGGGTGTCTGTAAGGCGAGAGTTGACTGTAAATTGAATTGTTGATACAAAATTAGGCATTCAATACCGTCTTGCTTCAGGTCCACTTTTAGTACAAATTAGTACTACTTAGATTTTGTACAGTTGCACGGTTTAAGTGTGATCACCCTAGTACCAAAAATCCTAGGTTTTCTCCTAGAAATATGTATTCTCATAAGTTCATTCTATTGTATAACAGGCCACCATCACCATCCAAAAGCACCAGTAGCATAGAAGAAGAACAGGAAACAAGTCCATGGCATATACTAGCAGAGCAGTATGAATATTATACAAAACAGTTTAGAAGACTACAACCTAATGATGGTGGAGTCATTAAAGGTATGTGATACAGATACAGTAATGTACAGATACCTCAACTTGAGAACGTGTTGAGCTGCGTCCTTCGCAATTCAGCACCTGCACATATAAATGAAGGTTAATATTTAAGACTCCCAAAGGTTCACACGAAAATGAGTGAAAATGACAGCGCCCTGAGTGTGAGTGATTTTATTTTGTTGTGCGTAGAATCATTTTGTTAATAATATCAATTATTGAACTTGATAATGATAAGATTAATGATACTGAATTGATCCAATGTTTCTACAGGACCAAAAGCAAGGGATTTTTTCTTGAAATCTAATCTTTCAACAGAAATCCTCTCCAAAGTCTGGTAGGAAGCTTACCTCAAATGTTTTAATTCTTTTCCTTCATGTCTCATTATCATGCTTCTCATAGATAATACTGAATATTTCTTTTTTGTTTGTTTGTTTGTTGTTGTTTTTTTTTGTTATTGATTGGTTAAATGAATGAATTAATGATTGCTTGATTACTTGATTGAATGATTGATGGATTGGTTGATTATTTGATTAAATTAATTGGTTGATTGATTGATGGATTGATTGATGGATTGGTTGATTGATTGATTGATTGATTGATTTGCTTTATTCTAACATTGAATACAGGTTGTTTTGCTCAAAAGACTTTAAGCAAAATAACTGGAACAAACATCTTATGCCTATTTTTCATCTGTTTTCATCATGCCTCTTTTTTATTATACTGTTTGTTTGCATGTTTCAGGCATCTGTCAGACATCAATCAAGACAATGCTCTAGATTTAGATGAATTTTGCATTGCAATGCATCTTGTTGTGGCCATTAGGCATGGTTTAGATTTACCAGCGGTGCTGCCCTATGAACTACTGCATCACAGACAAGTCAGCAATGGTAAGTCAAAATAGTGACTGGTTATTCTACAGTGGGTGTGAGTGAACATATGTAGATGTCACATGTCCATTAGGCTAGAGACTAGAGTCATTTTCATCCGCCTGTATAGGAATTGTACTATAAAATACTTTTATCCTCTAACAAATCTAAAAAGAACAGCTCTCCAATGATACATATAATATAAAAAATGATATGCAAACTCCTAACTGCTTTTGAAGTATCAAAAGCAAATGAATCCCAAACATTCACAGGTAATCACATGTCATATTCATGTTGTACACCTGTGAAAAATATGATAATAATTCAATGTTGATTTTTTTTTTTTTTTTTTTGTAGACTTGCAGGCAGGTAGAGTCTCAGAAGAGAGCACAGAAACAATAGAAGAGGTATGATTACATTTGCTTTAATATTTTCTCAGTTAAAGGCCATGGACGGTCAACCACCATCCTTAGCATGCCTGATTATACTTCTATATTTGAAAATAAAAATACATCGTAATACCAGCAAAAACGTTCTCTGTATTATCCCTTTATGCTACGTATATAAATGGAAATATTGTAAGAATAAAACTTATAACTGAAAGATGGAAATGGATTTCAAATGAACATTWAAGACACCTCATTTTCCATAAATAAAAGATCTAAAACGTGACCACATTGAGTGCTAATCGACCATGGCCCTATAAAGTATATTTGCTGCCTTATTCACCCTGTCAAGGCCCGTTAACACTTGCGATTTTTGCAGAGCGATTCTCGTGGTGATCGTCGCGCGACCATCGCCTGAGTTTCAAACATGYTTGAAAATTGTCTGCAACTTCGCGGCGATTTTCAATCGTCGCAACAATCGCAGTGCTGTTTACACGTACGATTTGAGTTGCGCGATAGCAAAGTGGCGATTATTGCGGGCCTTCAGTGTGAAAGTAGACTGATGAGTTGCGTTTTTCATACACCAGGATTCTAAACCTCTTAGTAAAGTACGAAGAAACAGATCACAATCAGACACTTCACTTAACGAAGATCATCATCCAGAAATAATATCCMGGAAGACTTCAATGCCAGTAACYAGAGTAGACGAAGAGGGCAGAACACAAAGTCCAGATCAAAATGTCAAAATACCAAGACCTAAAGCCACCAATATTAGTCTTATAGACAGCCGTCCTGGACAGCTGTTACCACCACCACAGCCTGGTCARTTTCCTACCTGGACACCCACAAAAGCTGGCCAGGATTCAGACTCTGCTGAATCAGACGATGATGATTCAGAAAAGTCCTCAGATGATGAAGATGAATCCCGACCTTTGTCACCAGGTTAGTAATCACCCTCTCTTGTATGGCCTCCACATAGCCGTGAATCCTGGATTTTTCCTGGCCGGGTGTGCCATTAGGAGATGAATTTGTATATATGTGTGTGTTCTGGGGGCTGTGAGTCCACAAGCTCTGGTTCTGCCACTTTTTCGCTACTTTRTCAGAGCATAAGGATAAGGCAATATACATCACGAGATCTTGTAAGTGGGGTTATGCCCTGGCATTGCAGAAAATCATAGTGGTGGAGCCAGGGAGTGCCTATAAACGACTTAAAAATTGGCGGTAGTTCACGACCGCCCAATATCGGGGGACTAGAGACGAATCATGGAAACAAGATCTCAAAGGCCTTACATCTAGAAATCACTACGAAGATCACATGTAGGCAGTTTTCAAAAGTTCGAAAGATGCATTGGTATGCTATTTATAACAAAACACTCTTGTAAGAAACCATCGAAGTTTACYTTACGGAAACTGRGCTTTGAGACCTCGTTTTAGTGCTTCGTCCCCAGTGCCCTAGTCGGCAACCGTGACATCTCGCGCCATTTTTGAAAGTTGTGAATGCACGCAAAACAAATCCCCTAGTCCCCCATACCTTGGGCAGTGCCTCTCTATTGGTGAGTCGGGGGATTTCTTTCATATGCACTTGGGCCGGATTGTTCAAAGCCCGATTAGCATTAATCCAGGATTAACTCCATAAATTTTCTAAGAGTTAACCCAGGATTAGCGCTAATCGGGCTTTGAACAACCCGGCCCTGGCACCCGGAAAGAGTAACTGTCTGATAACTCCTACAAAAGAACAATTCTTTATCTTTCATATGTTGTTGTTTGAAGGACAAACAGTTCCCCCTCCTCCTATGCCGCCCCTAACAGAGGATGAAACCAAAGAAGATGAGGAGGAAGAAGAAGAGGGGATACCCACCCCTCCCAGCACACCAAAAGATGAGACTCCACAGCCAGTGTTTCCAGATGTTGCCCAAGTGACACGAAGATTAAGTAAGAAGTCCTTTGATAGGCCAAGGTTAGTAAGTAATATATAAAATATGAAAATTATAAAATATGAGCAGGAGACCTTTATGGGCATTAAAAACTGCGAACTGAAAGACATAAAGGCCGGATATCAAGATTTTATATTGCTTATCAAATTCCAACATAAGCTAAAAGAAAATCGAAGTAAAAGTTGTATGCAAATCAGGACAAATCTCTTGCCCAAATAAAGATTCGGTCAGCAATGATTTTTCATTTTGATATTACAAATGGAAGTAGCTAACTCAAAAAAAAAAAAAAATTAAATGGATCGATTTAATTTTGTGGAAAAGGAAATTTCTTTCTCGTGAATGAATGTTGCTTTAGTTGATTTTCATATTTATACAATAATCTMAATTTCTATATTTTTGAACCCTAAAAAGGGGGATGGCTAACCCATGGACCCACAAATGGGGTGCTACCAGCCAAGGCACCATKCTTAATAAAGAGACTCTAACACAATTTAATTGTAGGTCTGCTGGTGATGTGAATGACATCGTGCCGCTGCCCAGTAGTGATGGCAGTGCCGAGTCAACCCCTACWAATAGTAGCATAGGATCTGATGGTAAGAAAGAACCRCCCCCTCCCCCACCCAGAAGAAAAGAGAAAGGTCACTCAAGGTCATCCTCGTTGGATCTTAACAAGCTGTTTGGTCCAAAATCAAAAGAGACACGAGGTAAGGCTCTTTTTGTTGTACATGCGTCAGTACTTTCGGAGAACAATGCGTCCGCCATATTGAAAAGTGAGACCCTATCTTGTGCCTTAGAACACATTTCGTAGTTGCTAAAACATCTAATCTATCACTATATGGTATTGTATTAACTTGAAATTAGTTGAGAAGCTTTTAATCGCTTTAGGAGTTATAATTTAGTGATTCGAGTCCCATTTTTTTAAGATGGCGGACGTATTGTTCTCCGAAAGTAATGATGCATGTATGGGTACAGTGTGGGATTGTTCAAAGCTTAGTGAGCTAAATCCACGAGCTAACTATGGAGCTGACCTACAATCCTTTGCAAAAACCATTTAGCAAAGTTCTACATAACGCTCGTTCCGTTCGAGTTTTTGTGATGGTTTGAATTCAACTGGAAGTGTCACTCTTTATTAACACTAATTSTATGGTCTCTCTTTTGGCGAGCATCAGTTTTCGTTCCCAGTCTCCTTTTTAGTTTCGGAAAGGTCAATTGTAAAGCTCCACAGCAGATTTTGTTAATGTAAATTCACGCCGCAGAGCAAAACACGGGTTATGACAAATCAAAGGATTAATGGGCAACAGGACTTATGTATACAAAGGTAAAGCATTTCAAGCAGGGATGTCAAATAAAGACATGAAATTGCCTTATACAGATTTTTTATTGAACATTGTAACATTTCCAGGCAAAATATCGATGTAAATCGGCACTCGATAATCGTCATTACCGCTAAGCACTTTCGCGTTTCACTTTTGATTATATCAAATTTTTTCAGCATACATAATGTTTTAGAAACTCTTTTTATTTTATAAAGATGTAACTATACATAAAGCTGCTCTTGTATATTTATYATCTGATGAACTAAACAGGGCTCAACGAGTCCCTTTAAAGTATTATTTCTTAGCAGTAGACTGTTCGTTTACCTTAGAACATAAAATTTGTTATAAAAAGGCGTTCTACTTTATATCATCTTATATCCAAAGGCTTGGCACCTGCAAATTGACAAAAAATTACAAAAAATATATATTCTTGAAGAATATTACTGAAAACTAAAAGCATARATAGTATGAATGACGCAATGAGACTTTTATGAAATAGCCTGATTCCAGAGGCTTGGATTTTATTCCTTTCACTTTCGAGCCGCAAAGCGGCGAAACGTTTCCGTTAATCGTTTTTTAGGCTAAAATCGATTAATGGATACTCTTTGCCKCTTTGCGGCACAGTAATAAAAGTAAATAAAAAATTACAAGCCAAGTCTCAGGAACCAGGGCATTTTAACTATGTATTCAGTCTTATTTCACAATGTTGTGAAAGATGCAAAAATTATCATTATTATTATTATTATTACTACTATTATTGATATATTTTCTGACAAACATCCCATTCCCCCTTCCTCTGCCACTTACACTGCTACCCTCATAACTGACTCGACCGCACCAGGTTGACTCTGGAGGAGACTTTTAACAATAATAGTGCATGAAATCCACGAGTTCCCCATAGTGTGCCTTTGATTTCTCCAATGCCAATATCGTACTGGAAAAAATCGCGTACTTTAAAGGTGTACATCATATTTACCTTTTAAACGGCGCGTTTTTTCCAGTGTCGTGGGCCCTGTTGTCTTACCATTTCTATTATATGAATAATTTTCAGCCAGTACATTTGGTTCTCCTACATCAAGTCAGTCAAGCCAGGTAAGTGAAGAGAATATGTTACGACATACAGTCACTTCCATTAACGTTATTCAGTTGTAAAGACACAAAGAAAACAACAAAGTCAATATTTGTATTTTTTGCAAAATTATGCAGTCGTTCGAGTGAGCGTATCTTTTCAACACTCGAACATTAAATCCGTATCTCCTTGCCCCCATGTAACATCCTCTATATGATTATTGTTATTGTATAAATATTTTTTGAAATAGCCGTTGACTCATGCCTAATTTAACGTTTCAACAGACAAGTCAAAGTGGAGAAGTTCCACTTCCTCTGAAAACAGAACCAAAGCCAGARCAAGACGACAATGACACACAAACCACAGAAGATAACCAAGAAACCAATGAAAAACCAGCAAAGGAAGAAAACTTTGCCGATTTTAGYAATTTTGAGACTTTAGTGAAAGCTCAAGGTACAGCTAGTGAATCACATATGAATGTACCATCACAAGGACGTACGCACAGGCGGTCGCTATCACTCGATCATGCGCAGGTGAGTGGCTTTTCATTTTTARCAAATAGATTCAATTTTCCCGTTCGTCTGTACTATAATAGATCASATATGACGTCATAATGTGATGGGAGCAAAAAAGTATACAATAAGACGAAGTTCTGGTTCTGACCAATCAGAACGCACGTAAGATAAAACCGTATGCACACGGTTCTCGACCAATCCAAGAGCGCGTAATATACCAARCATATAATTGGATAATTATTTCTATAATTTCTTGTAGGATTATTGGCCCAAGACGTCTCAATCCAATAACATCGATAGTACAATCGACGGTACCACT